ATGGAAGACTTCTCTCTTTCTGTCTCTGCCTCTCTATAACTCTGCCTTTCATATAAATAGATAAATCTTTAAAAAAAAAAAAAAGTACTCTGCGGGATGGTGTTGTGATAGAGGGTAAAGCCTCTGTGACCAGCGTCCTATCTGGACACCAGTTGGAGTCCCAGCTCCTAGTTAATGTGTCTGGGAGAGCAGCAGGAGATGGCCCAAGTACTTGGGCCCCTGTTGCCCACATGGAAGACTCAGATGGAGTTCCAGGCTCCTGGCTTCACCCTGGCCCAGCCCTGGCCTTTACAGTCATTTGAGGAGTGAACCAGGGGATGGAAGATCTCTCTCTGTCTCTCTCTCTCTCTCTCTGTAATTCTGCTTTTCAAATATTTTTACATATATTATTATATATTTATATATAATTTATATATGTATGTATGTGTGTGTGTATACACACACACACATAAAGAGAGAGAGAGAGAAGCTACCCTACCTAATGTCAAGGTATACAAGTATATAAACTTGTAGCAATAAAAAAGCTTGGTCATTGAAAGCTTCCAGGACATGGTCATTCCTGCCTCTCTCGCGTCTGCCCAGACGTGTCCGGGCAGCAGTGCCCCCTCGCCGAGAGCAGCCCTTACCTGGTGCTGGAAGGGAGCAGGTAGGTGACGCTTCAGCTCTCCTGCCCCTCGGCACCTTCCAGGGCCCCGTCACAGGTGACTGCGCCACAGCATCTCCCTGACTGGGTTCCTTGTCCCCCCACTCTTCTGCTACTGCTGCTGCTTCGGAGGTCACCTCCCAAAGGAGTTACATCCACATCTTTAGCTCATGGCTGGTTTCTAGAGGGACCACAACCTAAGATAGAAAAGCACACACACACACCTAATCCATAGTTAAAGGAACACTAAAACATGGGCTGGTGCTGTGGCATAGTGGGTAAAGCCTCCACCTGTGGTGCTGGCATCCCATATGGGAGCTGGTTCAAGTCCCAGCTGCTCCACTTCCAATCCAGCTCTCTGCTAACATGCCTGGGAGAGCAGTGGAGGATGCCTGAAGAACTTGGGCCCTTGCACTATGTGGGAGACCCAGATGAAGCTCCTGGTTCCTGGCTTTGGATCGGCCCAGCTCTGGCCATTGTGGCCATTTGGGGAGTGAACCAGCTAATGAGATATTCTTTCTCTCTGTAACTCTGCCTATCAAATAAATAAATCAATCTTTTAAAAAATCACTAAAACTCAAGGGCAGAAAGAACAAGTTGTTTGGCAAGTGAGGGTTGAGATATTGACTCAATATATAGAGAAGAATAAAATGAAGACCCTATACAAAGATGGGATCCAGACAAATAAAAGGCCCAACTATAAATGGTAAAGATCACGTAGGGCAACATTTTCGTGAGTTCAGGACAGGGAAAACTTAAATAACAATATAAATCTAAATCATAAGGCCAAAAACACAATGAATTAATATGAGTAATGATTTCTTCCTGCAAAAGAATCCAAGAAAAGCTAAGTGCCTCTGAAAGGATTGCGTGATTTTTTTTATTTATCAGGCCAGGCAGAGTTAGACAGTGAGAGAGAGAGAGAAAGGTCTTCCTTCCGTTGGTTCACTCCCCAAATGGCCGCTACAGCCAGTGCTGCGCCGATCTGAAGCCAGGAGCCGGATACTTCCTCCTGGTCTCCCATGCAGGTGCAGGGTCCAAGCACTTGGGCCATCCTCCACTGCACTCCCAGGCCACAGCAGAGAGCTGGACTGGAAGAAGAGCAACTGGGACTAGTACCCGGTACCCCAACTGGGACCAGAACCCGGGGTGCCGGTGCCACAGGCAGAGGATTAGCCAAGTGAGCCATGGTACTGGCCAAGGATTGCTTTTAATCACACACACACACACACACACACAAAATCCCATAAAACCAAGTGAACAAAGATAAGAACCCCTAATAAAAGGATAAAAGCAGAAAGAAGAGGAGGAGTAAGAAAAAGAACAGGAGGAGGAGGCCCAAAAGCCCAAAAGGCCTCTAAAGAGAAACTCACACTCCTTAGTACCAATGAAATGAAAATGAAGACCATGATGAAGGATCACTGGCCAGCCATTAGACTGGCGGGCGATTGAAATCTAGTTCACGGTGCGTGTTAACACGGTGTGGGAGATTCAGCGGTGCAGGGTTTCGCTGTAATGGAGAGGACTGGCCGGATCTTGTCGTGCATCCCTGGGGAGCAGAGGGACAGTGTGTTACAGAATACGCGGCAGCCGTCAGAAGCAGCCCGCCGGTAGCCATGCACCGTGTAGAGTGAGAAAAAGGGAGGTGGTGCTGTACAATGTACAAGAAAGCCGACAGATGGAGGCCACACACAGACACACTGGAGCATTGTCCGAGGGAGGATGGGATGGGGCTCAGGGAAGCACGACAAGAATGCATCAATGATAAATCAACAAAAGAAGGCAAATCATGATCGTGAGCCATGAACCAAGAAGAGCAGCCTGTGCCTGGGCCAAGGACATGCATACGGAGAGGGACGGATACGCAGTGTCCAGCCCTGAGCACTCTGGAATTGCACAGGTCCTGGTCAGTTTTAAGGCAGAAGGGCATAAGCGAGACGAGGAGTGAAGAGTGACTCAGTATGGCTGTAGTGTGGGAAAACTCCCTTCAGCTTGAAGCGGTCTATGTTTCTTCGGAAAATATTTGGAAAAAAAATCTTAGATGGTAATGCTGGAAGGAAAGTCCAATAGAGTTGTGAAAGTGCTATCAGTTCTTTCACCACAAAAGATACTTAGCGAAGGTAAGATGCTAAGAACATATATATAGTTAATTTTTCCTTTAGAGTTTTTATTTTTTGAAAAAGATATTTATTTGAAAGGCAGAACCTACAGAGATAAAAAGAGAGAGAGAGAGAGATCAATCTTCCATCTGCTGGTTCACTCCCCAAATGGCTGCAACAGCCAGGATTGGACCAGGCCAAAACCAAGTGCCAGGAACTCCATCTAGGTCTTCCACATGATGTCAGGGGCCCAAGCTCTTGGTCTGCCTCCCAGGGGCATTAGCAGGGAGCTGGATCGGAAGTGGAGCAGCCAGGACCGAAACAGGCACTTTGATACAGGATGCCGGTGTCACTGTGTGTGAATTAGTGTGAATGTGTATGTGTGTGAGTATATGTTAGTGTGAGTGTGTGTATGTGTGTGAGTGTGTGTGTGTGCTTGGATCCATGATTCTGGCTTGTGTGCTGTCGAAGAGGGAGCAGATTGCAGGTAGAGATGAGTGGGAATAAAAGAATCCCCCAAATATCATGATATATGGGAAAAATGCCAAGTTTTGAGGGACAAAAAGGAGGGAAGATATGAGCGCATGCTTTTCTGTAAGATCTAAAGGCTTTTGTCAGTGTCTAGACGATCATGTTTTTGGACACAGTAAACGTGGACGCAGCAAGGAGCTTGAGATGTTGTCCTGGAGTTAATGGTCTCCCCGCCCAGTGTGGGTGTGAGGATACAAATTAAATTAAATGGATCAGCCAAGAATCCTGGCACCTGCTGCAGCCTCTGGGCTGTTTTGCCATAAACAAGGTTCAAACTAAGTCTTTCTAGGCAGACACAGATCACCACCGTTTTTCCCAGCCCCAGTTTAAAAGGCCCCCGGAGAACGACTCTTTAATGCCATCAACAACAGCAGGCATCCAGCTTTAGTGCTTGATTTCTCAGCATGGCTTATTTTATGGTTAGTATAAATCTCTGATACTACAGTTTGGTTTGAGGTTTCTTGAGTTTTTAGGATCACAGTCTGAGAACAGCATTGCTGGCCATGGCTCCTAAGCCATCACTGTAAGGTAGAGCTCTTGCCCACGTCGATCCACGATACAAACCAGGGGATTATCCCTGTTGTCTTGAGCGGTTCTCTGCAGCTTGCTGCCATTGTGTTCATTCTGGGACATTAGATTCGTGTGTAATAAGCAGCAGCATGAAAAATCCTAAAAAAAAAGGGGGGGGATTAGGGGGCAGCGCTGTGTCGTGGTGGGTAAAGCTGCCGCCTGCTGTGCCAGCATCTCATACGGGCGCCGGTTCGAGTCCCAGCTGCTCCACTTGCGATCTAGCTCTCTGCTATGGCCCAGGAAAGCAGTGGAAGATGGCCCAAGTGCTTGGGCCCCTGCACCCGCATGGGAGACCCGGAAGAAGCTCCTGGCCCCTGACTCCTGGCTTCGGATCGGCGCAACTCCAGCAGTTGCAGCCAACTGGGGAGTGACCCAGCAGATGAAAGACCTCTCTCTCTCTCTCTCTCCCTCTCTCTCTCTCCCTCTCTCTCTCTCTCTCTCTCTGTCTCTCTCTCTCTCTCCCTCCCTCTCTGCCTCTCCTTCTCTCTCTGTGTAACTCTTACTTTCAAATAAATAAATAAATCTTTAAAGAAACATAAGCATGAGCTTGGTGACTGAGGGTGCTCCTTCTGAGCCCCGCCGGCTGAAGAGTAACAGAAGTGCCCCTCAGAGCTCTTCATTTAAGGAAAGATCGCCACATACCTTCATGTTTTTCAAGTGCTTATTTTTATTTTCTTATTTTCACTTGGAAGGCAGAGACACAGAGAGATTTTCCTTCTGGTTTACTTCCCAGTGTCTGCAATAGCCTGGCTGGGCCAGGCCAAAGACAGGAGCTTGGAACCCAGTCTGGGTCTCAACACGGGCAGCAGGGACCAACTGCTTGAACCACCCCCCGCTGCCTCCCGGGGTGCGTTAGCAAGGAGCTGGGTTGCAAGCAGAGCCGAGACTCGAACCAGGCACTCTGATGCCACAGCAGAGCCCACCTTCCTCAGCGCCCTCCCCTCTGACGATCCCTGGTGACTGTTTTGGCCGTCTCTATAGCTGCAGGTCAATCTGGGGCATCCCAGTCCTGGGCGTTCACAGGTTGTGGAGTCCTGGCAAAGCCGGAGTCCTCAGCTGTCACGGAGCTTCAGTTTCTGTTACGTGGGTTCCTTGACGTTGTATCTTCTGTTTTCTGTCTGTTTCCAGGCTCTAACTGGTGTTGTTGTTTTCTGCAGATCCAGGATGCTTGCTTGCCCTTCCTGTCTGTTGACTCCCAGCCGCAGGTAACTCCCTGGGGGGTGTTTGGTAACAATGTAGGCATTTGGGTGGCACTGAAATTCACCATGGCTCCCTTTGGACCTCTGTGAAATCATTAAAATGGGTCAACGAGTTAGATATTAGAGTTAGATGGTAATAATACCATGTTGTGCTGTCAAATGCTAGGGCCTTTATCTCGAAATAAAATCGATTTTCAGATAATACATATATTTTGGAAATTATCGAATGTCACAATCAAACTCCGTGTTATGTTACAACAACTATATCTATTGCCGTCTTGGAGGCTGGTATCCCGTCCCCCATTTGGTTTTGAAACCCAGTGATAGATGAACTCAAGAGCCCGACTTAGAGAGATCCAAGCATCGACACTGTCACTGAAAAGTCGACTCGTGGATGTCTTTGGATCTGATGCCCAGTGGGTTTGCTTCAAGTGCCCTCAGGACTTGCCTGCTGGTCTCTGCAGTGACCTTGGGCCTCCTGGCAGAGCCAGGTCCTCAGCCACGAGGCCAGAGTGCCAGCTCCCTAAGAACAAGGACTAACCAGCTGGAGCCTACCCAGGTTCTTCCTCCCGAATCGCCTCTCTGACATTAAGAACTTGAAATAGTTACTATTTGAATCTTTTACATACACAATGTAAATTGTTATACAATTTGATACATGTAGAAGGCACCATTAATTTTCACAGTAACTGTTATTTTATGATGTAAGTGATTATGTGAACAGTGCTTCTAAATATTTTTGCCCAACAGGAACTAAATCATTTTAAGGCCCATAAATAAAAGATTGAAAAGGGCACATTTGAAAAACCCAGAAAAGATAGTCAGGAACTGGAGATTTCTTTCCCAACGTTTAGTCTCGTTGCCAAGTTCAGCCTCATCTGGCCTCAGAGGAGAAACAACTCATTTGGGGGAATTTATTCTCCTTCAAGCTGAGAGCCGCCTGCGACACATGACATCGCTGGGTTATTTTCTATCATTTTTATTTTGTGGCCTTGCTACGTGGGCCATAAAAGGAGGTTTAGGGATTTTATTTCTAGATTCTAATGGTTGCCTTTGTACCTGGCCCCGATGGGGGCGAGTGAGAAAGAATGGACACATACTCACCTCTTGTTCAGTCCTCAATGACAGGCTTTGCAGGTAATACCAGGGTGGCCCAGGGATGTCCCCAGGTCAGAAGAGAGAGCTCCTGGGTCATTATGCTGCCAATAAGTAGCCTGGCATGGTCTTGACAAGAGACAGTCTCTTGGTCCCTCGTGTCTTCCCTACATGAGAGTAGCAACTCCCCTACCCCAGGTATCTCACAGACTGTGAGTTATGTATGTGAAATACACATGAGTGATGTGCTCAAACACTGTACAAATAGGAACCATTTAATATTTACAGGAAGTAGCCCAGCCACTCGCACGGCAGGCCAGCTAGCAGGAGAGAGAGAACAGGCTGACATCGGATGCTAGGAAGGTTGCACAGAGAAAGTGTGTGCCTGCTCCCGTGGTGTTGCTAACCACAACCAACTGGGTTAGGCGTGCCTTGCTTTTCGAAGAAGATTGCGGGCTTTTCGTGTTGCTTCTAAATGAAGAGTAACTGCAGCTCGAAGTCAAAGCTCAGCATTTTACCTGCATGTAATCCTTCCAAGAACTCCCTGCAATGATGGCACCCCAGACTTCTGGTTGAAGAAACTCAAGTTCAGAGAGGTTGGGTAACCAGCCCGTGGCACCACAGTAATGAAGAGAAGACTGCAATTGGCACTGCTATAGAGCTGCAGACTGCCGGACTCCATGGCCCGGGCTTTTCCCCACTAATTACACGCTCCACCCCACCTCCGGCCCCACCCTCCACGCCCTGCCTTGGCTCCAGGTGCCCGTTACTTCCTGCATGCATTTATGAAGTAGCCTATTGTTCCTGGTACTACTGTGCTAAGCTCTGTGCCAAGCAGGTTTTGCCCCTGCTTGTCCATTTGCGCTGTTTCTGGCTGCACCCAGCGGGCTGCTAAGCCCTAGGAGCTTTGCCCTACTTCTGTGCGCTGTGCTCCGCCACACCTGAGCCGGGGGCGTGCAGTCAGCAACCTGGAAGGGTGGTACTCGGATTAGGTGCACCGTGTACGGCTTCTCCTCCTCCACTGCCCATTGTTTGCAGGCAGTTTCAGGGTTTTCAAATCAGCCAGTTCTGAGTAATATTCAGCCTGGCTCACTGCCTTGGTGCGTAGACACCGAACTTGCTGCAAAGCTGGGAAGGCTCATCCCTGTTGTGACCCTGCCCTGTGGAATCTGTGATGTCTTAGCCTGTGCTGAGTGCCGTGTATCTGGACAGCAGTGGACACTTTCATCAGAGGGTTTAAATGAGCACAGCACATAGCTAGGTTTTGTTAGTTTTTTTCTGATTGGGAGGAAGGTTTTACTCCCAGTGAGCAAGTTTTCATTATAAGAAAAATCAAGGGACTCCAGCGGAGTTCCAGTGACCCAGAGCAAAGAGGTTTCCTGGGCTGCTGGGTACCTTTGTGCTCCTGACACTGCACAGCTGAACCTGCGTACAGACACCGTTACAGCAAGGCATAGCCTGTGTGTCTTTCTCCCTCCCCCCAGGCACCCGACACCCTGAGGGAGCTTTGCCTTATGCTCATGGGGATTCCACCGAGACCTCAGGTAAGGTTGAAATGGTGTTTTGTGGAATTCCTTCTGCAAGAAAACATGCCCAATTTAGGAAGCTTACCAAGAAGCTCAGGAAGAGGATAAATGGATTTGGGTTAAAAAAAAATGCATGGTTTATCTGATGTCTGATCACTTACGGTCATCTGATTGGGACTTCTGTGTCCCCTGGAGTGAAAATGTGCTGTAGTCAGACAGGGAGCCTTGGGGTCACGCTGGCTGTTTCCCGCCCTGGTCTTTCTGCCACTGGAGAACAGAGACGTCTTTCTGAGCTGCTAACCGTACCCTGTGGTCCAGAGGTTAGGACAGCGGGAGGAGAAGGGCACATTAAGAAATCAGGGCAAGCAAACTGTGGGCAGTGTAGTCTAAAACTTCTGTTCCTGCTTCTTCCTTGGTTTCTTAGTAAAATCTCTTGATTCTTCTGGGAGGGCTTTTGTTCTAAAGTGACAACATCACAAGGACCATCTTTCATGTCATACCCTGTGTGTCTCACATGTGCACTTTATCCTCATGTGGCCCTCTGAAAGACAAGTGCCTGAGGTTGATAGATCTTTTTTTTTTTTAAAAGATTTTATTTATTTGAGAGGTAGAGTTACAGACAGAGTGAGAGATAGAGAGAAAGGTCTTCCTTCCGTTTATTCACTCCCCAAATGGCCGCAATGGCTGGAGCTGCGCCAATCTGAAGCCAGGAGACAGGAGCTTCCTCTGGGTCTCCTATGCAAGTGCACAGGCCCCAGGACTTGGGCCATCCTCTGCTGCTTTCCCAGGCCATAGCAGAGAGCTGGATCAGAAGTGGAGCAGCTGGGACTCGAACCAGCAACCATATGGGATGCCAGCACTGCAGGCAGCGGCTTTACCCACTATGCCACAGCGCCGGCTCCTTGATAGATCTTTATATGTATTTTCATCAGAAATTCTGAGTTAACCTGTAATCATCGGTACACTCTAACTGCCATAGCTTTCATATGCAATAATTCTCTGAAAGCTTGAATGCACGAATGTTTCCTGAAACTAAATAAACTGCATTTTATATTTATCCATTTTTTTAAAAAAAATTATTTATTTGAAAGGCAGAGTCATAGAGGAAAAGGGAGAGGTGGAGGGAGTGAAAGAGATATTCCATCTGCTGGTTCACTCCCCAGTACAATGACTGGGCCTAGACCAGGCCAAAGCCAAGAGCCAGGGACTCCACCCAGGTCTCCCACGTGGGTGGCAGGGGCCCACGCACTTAGGCCATCCTCCTGGGCTTTCTCAGGCACCTGAGCAGGGAGCTGATCAGAAGTGGTGCAGCCGGGACCTGAAACATTGCTCATATGAGATGCTACCATCACAAGTGGTACTTAACCCAGCATGCCACAACGCTGGCCTCTATCCGTTATTGTTAATGACATTTTCCAAAAAACTTCATTGACTTCTTTCCTAAATAAGATTTTAAAAAGACAATGATTTTAGTGATAATCCTCCTTTTGTGGCCCAGGTCCTTGGGCCCTGCACCCACATGGGAGACCAGGAGGAAGCACCTGGCTCCTGACTTTGCATCAGTGCAGCGCGCCCGCTGTAACGCGCCAGCTGTAGCGGCCACTTCAGGGGTGAACCAACGGAAAAAGGAAGACCTTTCTCTCTGTCTCTCTATCTCATTGTCTGCTCTGCCTGTCAAAAAAAAAAAAAAAAAAAAAAGCAAATGAGACAAGAAAGAACAACAACAAAAAAGGGATGATGGAACTTTAAAAAAAATGTAAATTTAGGGGTGGCAAAAGCAGAATATAGACAAGTTTATGGTAGAAAGCAAAAATAACTCATAATCTTATGATGTAGTGATAATCACAAATATTTTGATATGGTTCTTTTAGTTTCTTCCTTTGAATACTCCATCATGTGATTATAATTTCTTATCCCATTGCAGTTGAACATTTAAGATGTGATACATTTTTTACTCTTATGAATGATGTTGCAGTAAAGATCTTTGTTGCAGTATTCATATTAAATTTCCATGTATTTTTAGAGCAACATATATTTAACTAATTTCATTCTTAAAAAAATGCTGTGGCATAGCGGATAAATCCCCGCCTGCAGTGCCAGCATCCCATATGGGCACCAGTTCAAGTCTCGGCTGCTCCACTTCCTATCCAGCTCTCTGCTGTGGCCTTAGAAAGCAGTAGAAGATGGCCCAAATCCTTGGGCCCCTGCACCTGTGTGGGAAGACCTGGAGGAAGGTCCTGGCTCCTGGCTTCAGATTGGCCACAGCTCCGGCCGTTGCGGCCAATGGGGAGTGAACCAACGAACGGAAGACCTCTCTCTCTCTCTCTCTCTCTCTCTGCCTCTCCTTTCTTCTCTGTGTAACTCTGACTTTCAAATAAATAAATAAATCTTTTAAAAAAAGATTCATTTATTTAAAAAGCAGAGTGACAGAGAGGGGGGAGAGAGAGAGATCACCCATCTGCTGGCTTATTCCCCAAATGCCTGCATCAGCCAGGGCTAGACCAGGCCAAAGCCAGGAGCCCGGGGCTCCTTCCCAGTCTCCCACATAGAGGTCTGGAAACCAAGCATTCGGACCATCAGCTGCTGCCTCCCAGGATCATTAGCAGGAAGCTGGATCAGAAATGGAGGAGCTGGGACTCGAACCAGGCACTGCCGTGAGATACAGGTGTCCCACATGGCGCTTAACTCACTGCACCACACTGCCCAGCCTTGATTTCAGTCATATTTTCTGTGTGACACGTGTCATGTGTTTTAGCTGTGTAATTGTAGAATATATTATAAACATTATACTATATATTATATAACAACATACATATGTCTTTTCAACAGGAACAAGATGAAAAAGATAACACCAAAAGGGTAAGGCAATTTTCACAAATATATACATCAAAAATTATAAAGGAAGCCATGACTCTGTTCTGGTAAAACTCATTGCTTTTTTTTTTTTTTTACAGTTTTTATTTCATTATTCAAAGACACAGAAGTTGGGCAATTCAAATGTTGTGGTAAGTTGGAGTATTCATCTAAAAGAAAACCTCTGTTTCTGTAGTTTAACAGAACTAGATCTAAATTTAAGCTTTTTTCTTTTCGAAGTTTATATATGGATGAATAAATGGAATTCAACATTTGCTATACACTTAACTTATTGTGTATGTCAGTTACTGCATGTACATTAAATCATTCGTTCATTCATTCAACAGTTATATACTGAGAATCCACTATGTGCAAGGCACAATTCTAGGTACTAGAAATATAGCAGCAAATAAAACAGAAAATTTGGAAGGCAACCCCAGCTGCCATGGAACTCCCATTCTGAAGGCAAGAATACCTTCTTCCATTCCTGAGATCTTATTAGGAAGGAGGCATTTGGTGTGAGAATTTACTAAGATTGGCCACAGACCAGAAACTTGAATTCCATTTACTTCAAAATGTTGTGGTTTTAGGGGTAGTTTTCTTTCTGCATGCATGGATTTTTCAAAAAAAAAAACAAAAAAAAAAACAAAAAACCACTAACAAACATACTTCCGTGATTCAAGATAGATGTCTTATTTGACTCTAATATTCTTTTGAAGCTTTTAATTCACCAGCACCAGTGAATTTAAGGGGAGGAGGAATGTGAATTTTAATCATGGGGTCGTACCTGGGGAAAGCTAACTGGAAACTTAAACTCAGTTGTGAATGTCTACCACATGGAACCTCCCCAGCTACGAGGAGGTGGAAGTTAGGTTATCTTGACGTTACACCCAATGCGAGTTGAATTGGGTGACAGACAGCCAGGCTACAGAGCTCGTATCAATTCATTTGATAAATGAATTTACTGTTAGTGAGAAGGCTCAGTTCAACCCGTCCCATTAAAAACAAACAAACAAACAAACAAACAACCCACAGCCATATCAGGCCCCCACGTCTCGAGTGCACCGTCACCTCCTTCTGCTTGGCATCTTTAGATTTCTGGGAAATGTGTCCTAGTCGCATTCTTCACCATCAACAACGCACTGTCATTTCTGTCCCTCTGTTGTCTTTAGTATTCCCTCCTTGTGTTTCCCTCCTGCCCTTTGCCGCATCCTCGTGTTTAACTACAACTAATAAAGGAGAATGCAGGGCGTCCGGGCTACTCCTCCAGACGAACAGGTTCATAATGGGAAGGATTCTCAGAGCTGGTTTCTTCCGGCCCAGATGACTTCGAGCGAGTCTGGAAGCAGGCAGTGAGGGCAGGCACTGGGCAGCTAATGTTGGAGCTGAGGTCCTCAGGAAAAAGCCTCTTCCAATAATGACAAAAACCCCAGCAGGGAGCCACCAAAGCATCCCCCATCTCCTGGCTTGTTCACGGTTCCTGGACACCCACGGCCAGGGCTGGGGTAGATAACATCTTGCATTTTCTTTTTCGTCTGGGGGAGTGCGGTGGAGCAGAGGCGCAGCAGGTAGGGGCGCAGGGGTGCGGAGGGGCCGTGTGCTCATCAGGTGTGTGTGTTCGTGTCCTCAGTCCTCTGTCCTGCACCCGTTGCTGCAGCTCCTGCCTCACCTGCACGAGAGAAGAATGAAGAGGTTCCCTGTGGACGTACGTACCTCCGGCTGCATGCTTGTTCGGCCGCTGTGTGGGCCAGCCCCGGGGGCGCTCGGGGTAAGCCCAGCTGGCCACGTCAGAGCATCGGGCGACAGCAGAGGGGTTGCCCCGGCTGGCATGGAGAGGAGTGTTCCGCCCACCCCCCGCCCCTGGGGAAGGCTGCCATGGTGCTCACTCCCAAAAGGCCACAGCCCTTCTTGGTGAAGAGAGGACTCCACGGTGTCTCTTCATCAAGTAGGAATAGGACAGCAGATACGGAGCCCGTGCTGGCTGTTTGGTTCCAGACGCGCAGACAGCTGGCAGGGCACGCTGGCTGTCCCGTTAAAATGTTGCTAGAGGGGGCCGGTGCCGTGGCTCACTTGGTTAATCCTCCGCCTGCGGCGCCGGCATCCCATATGGGCGCCAGGTTCTAGTCCTGGTTGCTCCTCTTCCAGTCCAGCTCTCTGCTGTGGCCCAGGAGGGCAGTGGAGGATGGCCCAAGTGCTTGGGTCCTGTACCTGCATGGGAGACCAGGAGGAAGCACCTGGCTCCTGGCTTCAGATCGGTGCAGTGCCGGCCATAGCGGCCATTTGGGGGGGGTGAACCAACGGAAGGAAGACCTTTCTCTCTGTCTCTCTCTTACTGTCTAACTCTGCCTGTCAAATAAAAAAAATTTTTTTTTTCTAGAGTGAAACTTGTGGAGCAAACACATTAGAAACTAATTTTTTTCCACAATTAACAAAAATATGACCTAAAATCCAGTGTTTATGAGTAAGGTGAATATAACTGACTTAACACATTCTGTTCAAAATGTTTTTAAGTTATTTTTATTTGAAAGGCAGAGTGAGAGAGAGCGAGAGAGAAATCTGCCATCCTCTGGCTCACTCCCCAGATGCCCACAACAGCCAGGGCTGGGTCAGACTGAAGTCAGACACACAGAATTCAATCTGTGTCTCCCACATGGATGGCAGGGACCCAAGGACTCGAGCCAACATCCGCTGCTGCCCAGGTGTCTCTTAGCAGGAAGCTGGAACTGGGAGCCAAAGCCAGGAGTCAAGACAGCAGGCACTGCAGCATGGGGGAAAGCCGCGTCCCAGCCCTCCTCCCAGCCGCCAGACCAGATGCCCGCCCCGGGCAATCTCGGGTCTCACTGCAAGTCACCGAGCTGCGTGTTGTCGTTCGAGAAGACTCCTTGGGGCTTGCGTTTGGAACAGAGGTTAAGATGCCCACAGCCCGTGTCAGAGTGCTTGGCTTGAGTCTTGCCTCAGTTCTCCACTCCAGTTCCCTGCTTACGTACCCCATGGGAAGCAGCAGCTGACGGCTCAAGTGCTTGGGCCCTGCCACCCATGTGGGAGACCCGGATGGACTTCCAGGCTCCTGGCAAAGCCAGGCCTGGCTGTTGCAGGCATTTGGGGGGTGAATCAGTGGGTAGGAGATCTCTCTCTCTCTCTCTCTCTCTCTCTCTCCCTCTCCCTCTCTGCCTTTCAAATAATAAAAGTGTTGAAAAGAAGAATCCTAACTTCCGCCATGCTGGAAGCTCCTAGATACCGTTTTTAAGTAATGTCTTACATTGTTGTGACATATACTGTTTGATCATAAAGTCTCACTTGAGTCTTTTGGGAACTCTGTTCTTACACAAGTATTGTTATCCATGGTTTAGAAAGGGGAAAAATAAGTCAAAACAATTAAAGGCGTTTCCTTAAGTCAGACAAGTGGAAAAGATTACTACAGGGTCTTCTGACTTCTGGTCTAGGCAAATACCTTTTTTTTGCTATGCTTTCCATTTACCATTTAACCTTGATGCTGTTACTGTGTTATTGTTCAATTATATATTATTAAAAGTTGCATTTTTCCTTAATTTCAATACCATTTTTATTTTAGTCTTCCTAAAGTGCTACATAAAGTCTTTAAATAGCTTTAAAAATGAATTCAGTTTAGATGAATGAATTCCTCAAAGTGCATTGACCATAGTCACTCTTTCCTCTAAATTCTTCATGTTCTTAAACTAAGCTTCCAGCAGAGAAGACATATCTGCTGCCAACTTTACACAGACATGTAAGAGCAAATATGTTGGGGCTGGCGCTGTGGCGCAGCAGGTTAAACTTCCATCTGCAGTGCCCGCATCCCATATAGGCACCAGTTCGAGTCCCGGCTGCTTCGCTTTAGATCTGCTAATGTGCCTGGGAAGGCAGTGGAAGGTGGCCCCAGCGCTTGGGCCCTTGCACCCCCATGGAAGAATTGGAAGAAGCTACTGGCTTTGGCCCGCAGTTGCACCATTTGGGGAGTGAACCAGCAGATGGGAGATCTTTCTCTCTCTTTGTCTTTCAAATAAATAAATAAATCTTACCCAAAAAAAGGCAAATGTAGCAGCCCTTTAAAATGTTAGCATTTCCAGAATGAAGAAAAAATAATTTGTCATCAAACTTTCCATAAGATTCTATCAATATCCTTCTTTTGAGTGAGCTTCTACTTCCTGACTTATGAATAGTATTGTGAATAGTTTAACATTTCAAGTTAAAGAGCCAGTTTCTTAAAATACACCAACACTTGCCCAGGAGTTTGGCCACATTATTTCAGGGTCATCATTGACACAACCAGAATGGACCACACAGTATTGGGACCAGGTTACGACTCTGTTGGAATCATCTACTTGAGGTGAGAACATCAAAGTTTCCAGACAGTCACTGAACACAGGAGCCCCAGCCTAGCACATCCCAGCAGACGAATGAATCACGGAACATTTGGGAGCAAATCAATTTTCCTGGGAACTTACGCAAGAAAAATATGTAAGAGATGAATGGAAAAACAGTCCCAGCAGTGCCAGCTTTGCTGGGCTGAAGTCACCTAATTTTAAAACATACTTGGATAGTGAAATATTTTGAATTCATGAAGAAAATGAGTTTTTGGATCTTACTGTATTCAACCACTTTTCTTGAGTTTTGTTTGTGAAATGTAGTTCACTTTTTGTCTGTATATTTTTAAAATCTTTTTCTCCCAAATTCTCTTTTGTGCTGTTCTCTGTCTGGGGATAGGAACCTGAACAGACTGGATCCCACACAGTTTACTTTACAGATTATCCTACCTTTTCTTTTCTTTCTCTAATACAATATACATGAGAAATTTTCTTACATAGGCATACAAACATATTGAAAAATATGAATTCTTCCATCCTCAGTAATTTGAGAAGTTAGAGTAATTGTTAAAATTAAGTCAAAATATTGAGAATTTAATATATTTTTGTTGGAAATCAGAATTTCAGAGCCCACATTGATATCAGAGTCACTTTTTAGAATTTAAGACTATGATTGTACTTATATTATGGGAAAAGGCCTTGAATGATGAAGTTCATTCCCATCTGATTCCCACCCTGATAATATTTTTATGATAGATAATTATCTGTCACTAACTAAAGCTGTAAATCAATTTCAATCTTCATTCCTATGGAAATATTATATAATTGCTTTTAGCTGTGGCACTATTCGAAACTTTTGCTAGTCATCTGTTAACATATACAACATGTATTTTAAAGAAATTATTTTATTCTAAGAAAATGCTAAAAGCAGATTTTAAGTATAATTATGAGTGTCTGTCATTTCTCTTTCTGCTTATTGCTGGGTATATTATAACTGATAAAATTCCTTTTAAAAAAGATTTACTTATTTATTAGAAAGGCAGAGACAGAGAGATAGGGAGAGGTCGGTCTTCCATCTGCTGGTTCACTCTCCAGATGGCCACAGCAGCCAGGTCTAGGTCAGGCTGAAGCCAGGAGCCAGGAGCTCCATCCTGGCCTCCCATGTGGGTGCACAGGCCCAAGCACCTGCGCCGCCCAGAGCTGCTTTCCCAGGCACTTTAGCAGGGAGCTGAGCAGAAGCAGGGCAGCTGGGACTCGGACTGGTGCTCATAGGGGATGCCAGCATCACAAACAGCAGCCTGCCCCTCTGATGAAATTCTTGACAAGGAAACTTGTCACATTGATAGGGAGATTATTTTTAAATACAGTATTCTGATGACACTGCTGGCTGTTGAAAATTCTCTGGTATGTATATCTACAAAGTTTCTCCACTGATACAAACGATGTGCTCAAGTCCCGGATTCCCTTTCCTTCAGTGAGGGTGGCTGAAAAAAACTGAGCCTGGCATAACCCCAGGGAGAACTGCTCTGATTTTAGGTGCGTGTGACTCATAACGCCCTCATCTTCTTTTCCAGGAAGAATTCCAAAGTCCTTTTGGAAGTCGAAGTCGAGGATACTTTCTGTTCAGGGTATGCACACACGGTATTTATTTTTAATCATCAACATCGAAAAATACTTTCACTATGCATTTATTTCATTAGTCGTAATTTTTCATTTATTTTGATGCTTATAGATACTTGCTGTCAGGTGTCACACTGTGTATTACCTTCCGTTCCCCCTTCTTGCTTCAGGACTACAGCATCCCCAGTCAGATTCCTCTGACCCACCACTCCTGTTCGTGAACACCCCAAATGGCATTCACCTACTTAACAGTTTAATGTTTGACTTTTCATTTGTAGGAATAAGTGTGCTAACAGTGTCCAAGGAAGCATTTACTGAGCATTTGATTCAGTAGGTTGGAATAGTCATGACTACTTTCACAAAATCTTAAAAGAATCAGCTACACTGCAGGCTGTGTTGTCAGAACTGTTGACTTGCATTTCCCATTTGTGTGTCCAGACTGTCTCAGGAACTTGAGTTCCTTTCTAAGCAGCTGCACTTTCTAAACTATTTGCAATTTTAATACATTCCCAGGAATTTTTAAATCTTTCATTTAACAGCATTTATTGGACTTCTGCTGAGTGTTGGGCTGTGTACCAAGGGCTGGGAACGTAAAGACAGATAGGAGTCCCTCCCCGTGCTCTGAGTTCACAGCCTGGCGAAGGAAGTGAAGAAGGAAAACTACACTGAGTGCTGTGAAAGGCGCACCCTCAGCCTGGGGGCTGTGTTCCAGCTGAACTCCAGCTCGGGAATGGCCCAAATCCTGGAGCATCGACAGGAAAGGACGGGCGACATAGCTCAGAAATCTCACTTCCTGCCAAGGACCAGGGCGGGAGGCATGTGGTAGCATATGCATTTTGGGAAATAATTTTAACAGCATATTAGAGAATGGATCGGAAGAAGGAACCAGACTGATGGCAAGAAGAAGGAATACTCGACACCTTGACTTCGGGAAGCTAATTTGGGTTCATATCAAATTGAACTTAACATTTGTTTTGAAATGTTGGTGCTTTCTCCAAAAAAAGCCAAATCAAAGAGTGTCCACTTTGTGAGGCCCTCAGCATCACCCCTGGGTTTGTTTGAATGCAGGTTTAGGGCCTCCTCAGAGCTGCACCACTGGAACCTCTGTGAGGCCCAGCAGGCTTTGTTGTGAAAAACAAAAACAAAAGCCAAAACCTCCCAGTGATTCTGATGCATGTGAGAGAAGCCGCCTTGTGACCCGCAGGCAGATTTCTATAAATATCAGCTCCCAGCCTGCATTCCACTGATTTCTTTCTCATGTATTATTTTTCAGCCACGCAATGGAAGGAGATCCATAGGCTTGATTTAAAATGGTATGTGTTGAATAAATGAAAAAAAAAATAATGAAGTGGTAGATGTCCCACGGTTGAACTCAATTTGGAAATTTCTGTTGTTTTCAAACAGTCACAAATTATAAATGTGCGTCTGTCATTTGATCAATTGCATGTATGTGGTAGCATCTTTTGTATTATAATTGTCAGAGGCTTTATATGATTGATGGGAAAATCCCAGTATTTTGGGCTGGATTGGCTTTTCCCATTCGTATTCCTCAGACTAGGCCCCAAGAGTGATCATCATAACTGATCATGTAGACAGCGATCCTATGACCCTATGACCCTATGATCTCTGCCTGTTATATAATAATAAAATTAAAAAACTGAGGGGACTCCATCAAAGCCATTTTCAGTAGAAAATTGAAGACCTTAAACTAAGCAAGGAGAATTAACGAATGAATTATGAATTTTTCACTCAGTAAATCAAAAAGACAAGGTGAACTCCAGGAAAGCAGAAGGAAGAAAGTTATGAAAAAATTAATAAATTTAAAAATAGTAAAGTAGAAAAATTGATGTAAGCAAAGTAGAAATGTTATTCTTTGCAAAATAAATAAATAAATAAATAAATTCACTTAGCCTAGCCAAGAACAAGGGGCAAAGTCATTGATATACAAAAATACAAATAAGAGACAACAATCAAAACAGACATACAAGGGCACTTCAAAAACTTTGGAAAATAGAATGAAGGTAGGTTGATTTTGGTGCAAAAAAACTTTTGAAATCAGTGCATACTCACAGGAGATATGAAAATCCTGGAAGAGTATTTTGCCTGTCTCATGTATTATCCTGTCCTAGCCACCTCCCATGAGCCTCATCTCTGACTACCGACACCCCAGGTGGGTCTTCCATCTTCATTCCTCACCAGGGGGATTCAGACCCCACCAGGAGTTTTGGAGGAAGCAAACCATATTCAAACCACAGCAAGAGTTAAGGATCCCGACCCCCTGTGAGAGATCCGTTCTCCATGAAGCAGGGACGGTGCCACATTAGGGCAGTTTGTTAAAATATTTCACCATTAGAAGAAAAATCATCTGAAAATCTCAATAGGTGTTTGTGGTATAATTCCACATCTGTTCCTGGGCTTTAAAAGGAGATCCTGTAGAAAGATATGTGTCTTTTCTCCACGTTTAAATTATAGTTTCAATAAACTTGCTAGTGATAGTGGAATACTTTGGAGCATTTCATGAGGAACAAAAGAATATTCTCTCACTTTTATTTAATGTAGCTCTTGATGAATTAGATGATTCAGTTAAGAAAGAAAGAAATAAAAGATAAAAATTCTGGAAAGATAATAAAAATGACATCCTCATAGGACATAATGAGGAACTTGAATTTTATTTTTGTTAACGTTAATTTTTCATGTACTTGAAAAGGAGAGAGAGAGGGAGAGAGAGAGACACTTTTCCATCCACTGGTTCACTGGTTCACTCCCCAAATTCCCACCGTAACCAGGCCTCGGCAGAGCTGAAGTCAGGAGCCTGGAACTCCATCCAGGTCTCCACGTGGGTGCAGGGGCCCACGCCCTGTGCTGTCATTTGCTGCCTCCAGGATGCATCAGCAGGGAGCTGGATTGGAAGCAGAGAAGCTGAGACTTGGAACCAGCACTGTGCCTCAATGCCTGCCCTGGAACTTAAGTTGTCAAACTGTGTTTCAAAAAAGGCCTGACAAATTATGTTCATACATGGAATATGAGAAAGCGTATTCTTCATTTGTTTTAAATTTTTTTTCAAGGTATTAAGAACTGAGTGTTAATGGAAAAACACATCTTTCAAAATAATGCAAATATACACAGTCATTTATAAAATGTAAGCAAAACTTCTTTGATAGTAAATGGAAAAATATCTGTGATTATAATGCCAAACTATTAGAGTATCCACAATGTGAAATGGAATTTAACCCATGATTTGCTCAGTTTGGTAATGAACTCTCTCTGAAGTTGAGAAAAATTGAGTTATTCCCAAGAATTGGGTATATACAGAATGATTTACTCAGGACTTCATTTTATTTTTCCAATGGGAAAATAATTTGATGATAATTTTTTCTTTGTTATTCTCATCTGATTGTCCAAAGTGTTCATCTAGTATTTAGTGAGAAAGAATTTAAGCATAAAATGGGATGATTTAATTATAAGTATGAGGTAATAGATGCATGAGGAATAACTGCAACTTTTGATATATATTATTCAAAAATCTTATTAATGAATCTTAAGAAACCACTTTGATATATTAAGTACTATAAACATTTGGAAAACAAAACAATGTTCCATCAGAGAGAGATTAAATGATATATAGTTTAAAATGTACAAACTGAAGAACAGCTGGGAAGTATCTCAGATGCCAGCGTGATACTATGACAAAATATTTATAAAACTGTCTATATTCAAGCATTATATACACATTCACACACTCATTTGCACTTGAATCTAATTCAATTTTTCTTCTTTTACAGAATATCAACACATTTTCTACAGAGGCAATGCTATGGAATATAACAACTACTAACATTTGTTTTCTTCCCCAAATCAATCTTTGCTGAGTTTACTCTGCTGACGATCCCTGTATTGTAAACATTCTCAGTAAAAATTGGTTGAGATTGTAAATGTTCAATTTCTTGAAAATAGTGTTGTAATGATGAATGATAATGATAAATGACATGAAATAAAGCTGTCAACAATGATACTATTGGCACCTATGCCTTTTTGATATTTTTATTAAAGTTACTTATAGGGTCCAGCATTGTGGCACAGAGGTTGAGCAACTGCCTGTGACACTGGCATCCCATATAGGCACTGGTTCGGGTCCTGGCTGCTCCACTTTCTTTTTTTTTTTTTTTTTTTTTAAGAAAAAAAATTTTTTTGACAGGCAGAATTTGACAGTGAGAGAGTGAGAGAGAGAGACAGAGAGAAAGGTCTTCCTTTTCCGTTGGTTCACCCCCCAAATGGCTGCTATGGCTGGCACACTGCGCTGATCCAAAGCCAGGAGCCAGGTGCTTCCTCCTGGTCTCCCATGGGGTGCAGGGCCCAAGCACCTGGGTCATCCTCCACTGCCTTCCTGGGCCACAGCAGAGAGCTGGACTGGAAGAGGAGCAACCGGGACAGAATCCGGCGCCCTGACCAGGACTAGAACCCGGGGTGCCGGCGCCACAGGTGGAGGATTAGCCTAGTGAGCCGCGGCGCCGGCCCTGGCTGCTCCACTTTCAATGCAGCTTGCCTGCTAATGGCCTGGGAAAAGCTGCAGATGGTCCAAGTAGTTGGGCCCCTACTACCTATATGGCACCTTTAAAATAAATAAATCTTAATACTCATGAAGTTGAATTTTAATGTGCTATTTTAGTTTGTCCTATTTAGATTTTTATCAGTGACAAAATTACTAGCTTTTGTAAATAGCAGAATGCCCAATAACTAACAATATTAGAGTGTGAACAACAATTTTAACCATACTAATTAGATTTGGACTTGACCATTCCAATAATCCAATAAGCAAATTCTGAATTTTATAAGTATAACATGGTTTTCTGGTGACTGCAAATTTAACAGTACGCTAACCTGTTCTATCAGCTCATAGTATTCAGTCTATTTTAAAATAAGTTTTTCCACTCTAACATCTGAAAGGCAACCAGCGTTGTCCACAGATCATCTTCCTAGAAGAGGATTGTGAATATGCTTGGAGAATTTCTGCACTAAATCCATCAAGTATTTAACCTCAGATGGAGGTTGTACTCATGTTCCTCCACGTTTTCCACTATGTTCGCCTTCTGAGCTCCGTCTGGATCCGTACTTCCTCCATCGGAGAGGTTGCCGGCTGATTAGAGTGGGGTGGCTCTCTAGGTGGGTAGGATGAGGTCTGTATAGATCTCAGAGTGGTGTATTTAATCAATTTTTGGTCTTCCTAATGTTGGCCAACGATTATAGCTTAAGCTATGTATTTTTACTAAGAAAGTGTCTGAATGTCACTTGTCAATGAGCAAACATAAGGAGAGAAGAAGAGGACACAAATTTTGTTGTTTTTTAAAACAGAATTATCTTGACAAGATTGGGATTTGAAAGCAAAGAGGGCTTCCTGCTCTGAGGCCACAAATGCACGGGGCAGCACCTGCTAATTCTGTGCGCAGCAACTCAACCAGCCTGTTCTTTATTAATCGTTAGAGTCAAAAAGAGGAGTTGAATATCCATTTAAGCAGCATTTCCTAGGGACTCTAAGAAATTCAGAGAGACATATATCAATTATATTTTTTAGGTTTCTAGGATAACAAAGAGAAAGAAAAAAAGTAACTATAGCAGAGGAAATATTAAGATATGGCCATAGCCGGCGCCATGGCTCACTAGGCTAATCCTCTGCCTTGCGGCGCCGGCGCACCGGGTTCTAGTCCCGGTCGGGGCGCCGGATTCTGTCCCGGTTGCCCCTCTTCCAGGCCAGCTCTCTGCTGTGGCCAGGGAGTGCAGTGGAGGATGGCCCAGGTGCTTGGGCCCTGCACCCCATGGGAGACCAGGAAAAGCACCTGGCTCCTGGCTCCTGCCATCGGATCAGCGCCGTGCGCCGGCCACGGCGGCCATTGGAGGGTGAACCAACGGCAAAGGAAGACCTTTCTGTCTCTCTCACTGTCCACTCTGCCTGTCAAAAAAAAAAAAAAAAAAAGATATGGCCATAAAAACTGTGATGTTTTTAAATATTTACATTTATCAATGTCTCCTACACAAACACAACAGAATATATGGCCTCCTAGGAGTATAGTATCAATTATTAACTAGTCTCTACCGATGGATGGATTGGTCCAATGCCAAACTTAAGTTTAAAATTACTTCATTGAAAGTGTTTTTACCTTCTGTTCCAAATCCTGTTGTCTGTGGGACCACGTGTATAAAGCAGGTGCGTAGCCCAATTGTTTTCCCTAAGCGGCTGCCGCCTCCTATGAAACATTCTCCTTAAATTAAACACCAAATCCTTCAGTTCTGTAGGTTTCTACCTAAAGCCAGCTGTCTCCTGTGGCAGTGGGCTAAGGTCGGGTGGAAAGCTGCCGTCCCATTTAAGAGTTTGGTGGGAGCCCTGATCTCTCACCCTAGGAAAGCACACATACAACAAAAGGAAGTACAATGGGGACTGTGGGTCCCCCAGCTTCCAAATTCTAAATACCGGCCCAGGTTTCCAGGCGCGCGACTCCGCTGAGGGGTCCCCCACCCCGGGAGTTCGCTGTTGGCCCCTGGAGAGAGGGCTCCGCAGTGGACAGGTGCTCCCGCGCAGAACCAGGGTTGACCTGGAAGGGTGGCAGCGGACCGCCGGCCGGACACCAGCCCGGGCGGCCCACAGTGACCTGCGGGTGTTGAGCCGTCAGTACCCGGGTCTGAGGCTTCCTCGTCGCCTAGCGACAGCAGAGCGCGCACCCACGTCGTCGGAAGCCTTTGTCCTCTCGGAACCGCTGGGCCTGTGGCGGCGTCTTCGCGCCTTCGCGCCTGGAGGGGGCTGCAGCGCCGCGGGCGCCTGAGGGGCCGAGCGGCCGCCATGCAGGTGAGGGGCGCGCCCGGGGCGGGTCTGCAGGTGGCGGCCACCACGGCCTCGGGTCCCAGCGCGGGGCGGGTGTGCAGGTGGCGGCCACCACGGCCTCGGGTCCCAGCGCGGTCTTGCTGAGCGCTGACTGCGTGCTCTGGGCCTCATGCTGGGAGGAAGCCGGGTTTCGGCCTCAATCTGGGAGACAAAGCCGGGTTACCTGGGAGAAGGCCATGCTGTGGGCCTCGGAGACCCCGGGGCGTCTCTGGTCTCCTGCGGAGACGTCGGAATTGCGCCACTGCCTTTCACTCCTGGCGCGATCTCCGTCTTGAACCGACCTCAAGGTCAGCCCAAGGGCAGCTCCCTTGTCCTCTCCCGCTACCTTCAGCATCTCGTCTGTCTTAGAAAAAGAGCAGCTGGCCCTGGATCAAAAAGTCTCCATTAAACTCGCATGGACTCCCCGGAGCCCTCCTTGTCCGTCTCAAGCGTCCTTTTTACATCTTCTTTCCCTTCCCTTCTTTTCCCTCTCTTTTTGACAATAAAATTATCACTTTCCAATCTCCGCTCCCCCAAATTAAAGCCACTGCGGCTTTTCTTAGATGTATTTTATTTTGGTATTTGAAAAGGCCGTATGTATATAAGGATATTTTGAACATGAATGTAATCGTTAATGGATAGCTCTTCTGTGTTAATAGTAGATTCCTAGCAGATTTATGATTTGAAAGAGTTAGAGAGAGGAGAGAGAGAGAGAGAGAGAGAGAGAGAGGTGTCTTCTATCCACTGGTTCACTCCCCAGGTGGCCACAACGGCCAGAACTGCGCTGGTCCAAAGCCAGGAGCCAGGAGCTTCTTCTGGGTCTCCCACGTGGGTGCAGGGGCCCAAGGACTTGGGTCATTTTCTACTGCCTTCCCAGGCGCTAGCAGAGAGCCGGATCAGAAGTGGAGCAGCCGGGTGCCCATATGGGATGGCAGCGCTGCAGGCAGCAGCTTTACCCACTAGGCCACAGGGCCGGCCCCTGTTTTATACAGGCTATAACAACATTGCAGAGTTGTCTTCATTTGCATCTGCTTTAAAGGAATTAGGATGAAATGTATTGATAACAAAGGCAACTGTGCATTAACCTTTGTTCATTGATTTATTCAAGAGTTCAATACTTAATGTTTGAGATACACTGTTCTAAACTAGCTTACTCTGCAGGAATAAGAGGCAGACAGCTGTCGCAATTTATGGCATGGTAAAGAATATGGTATGTTAGATGAATAGATTGTGGTCCCTATTTCTGTTAGATAAAATTCTATGAATTCTTTTTAAGATTTATTTATTTGTTTTGAAAGAGTTATATATAGAGAGAGGGAGGGAGGGAGAGAGAGAGAGAGAGAGTGAGCAAGCTCCTATCTCCTGGTTCACTCCCCAGATGGTGGCAGTGGCCAGCACTGGGCCAGGCTGAGGCCAGGAGCTTCATCCGGGTCTCCCATGTGGGTGACAGGGGCTCAAGCATTTGGGCCATCTTCCATTGCTTTTCCCAGGCCCTATGTAGGGAGATGGATTGGAAATGGAGCAGCTGGACCACAAACTGTGTTGATATATGATGTCAGCGCCTCAGGCTGTGGCTTTACCTGCGTTGCCACAACACCAATAATTTCTAAAAGTGTAGTGAATAGCAGAATATAGAACATTTACTATCACATTGTCGCATTGCAATTAATTTGTAGATCAGTTAAGGAAGAGCAGTCAGAGAGATGTGAATAAATCCATAGAAATGTGATGGTATGAATACCAAGAATGTTTAAACAAGAAAAACTGTTGAATTTTTTCAAATTTCTGCTGAGGAAATCACAGTGAATTACATTAGCTACATGGAGCTCATAGGTAATTTAGCAGAGCAAGTTTTTTTCTATTTATTTGAGAGACACAATGAGAGAGAGCTTTACTTTGCTGGTTAACTCCCCAAGTGCCTGCAAACACTGGGGCTGAGCTGGGGCTGGAGCCAGGAACCCAATCCAGCACCCAACTGCTTGAAGTGTTACTGCTGCTTCCCAGGGTCTACATTAGTGGGGAGCTGGAGTCAGGAGTCTGAATCAAACCCAGGCACTCCTATGTGGGATGTGGTTATCTTAAACACTAGACTAAATGCTCGCTCCAACAGAGCAACTTTGAAAGAGGCAGAAGGCAGTGTTGGAGTGGGTTAGAGTGAATAGGAAGTGGCACTGGTTATAGTACTCAAATAGTCCAAATCTTGCCACACAGATCTTTTGAGAAGTTTGGCTACGAGAGAAAAAATAGAGTTGATAGGGAATGTGAAGTGTGTGGAGAATTCTTGAAAGATGATTGCTGGGATTTCTGATAACAGTGGGCTAGATTATTTGGGTCTGCTCTTATTTTTTATTTATTTGTTTGAGAGAGAGATTTATAGGCAGTGAGAGGGAGAGAGAAAGGCCTTCCATCTGCTGGTTTACTCTCCAAATGGCTGCAATGGCCAGAACAGAGCAATCCGAAGCCAGGAGCTTTTTCTGGGTCTCCCATGTAGGTGCAGGGACCCAAGCAGTTGGACCCTTCTCCTACTGCTTTCCCAGGCCATAGCAGAGAGCTGGATTGGAAGAGGAGCAGCTGGGACTAGAGCCGGTGCCCATATGGGATGCTGGCGCTTCAGGTGGAGGATTAACCTACTGCGCCACTCTTCCTCTTAATAAAAGTAAAAATGCTATCTAAAGTGTAAATTTTAGAGTATCAAAGAGATTCCCTAAAATCATAGATGACATAATAAGATGTCAGACAAAAATCAAAGAGAAAATAGAAAAGTACATTTCTAGAGCTTGTAGGAGACTGAAGTAGGCCACCCCGAAAATATGCCTCTATGTCATAAAGATTATTTTGAGTTGATTATTTTGAGAAATAGCAGGCACAAAAGAAGCTCTGAAATCAGAGCAGAAGTTACCCTTTTGTAAGGGAAATTTGCATCCATAGCCGAAATCTCTATTTGTAGGGGTGTCTTCCTCTGGCATACCAGGAAGAGAAGCAAGACTAAACCACAAGAGAAACTTCTAATTTGAATGTATGTAACAAACCCCACTCTTGTTTACTATGCTCTTCCTGTAACTTAGCTTCTCTAGACCCTTTTCTCTTTGTTTTAGCTGACACTGGTACTTATGCCTGAAATCTAAGCCATCTCTGAAATTTACTCATTTCTCTTGGTAACTCCCATGTATACATGAGGCATACATGTTACTAAACGACTGTTTGTTTTTCCCTTGTTAATCCCTCTTTTATTATGGGAGTCGGTGCCAGCTCATAACTGAGAAGGGTAAAGGGAAAATTGCTTTCCCATCCCCATCTACTCCAAAGCCACTTCACCCTGAAGGCACTGGCAGTCTCCTTCCTGCTGCTGTGCGTCCTGGGAGTTAGCAAGTGATGGCTCAGGTAGTCAGATCCCTGCCACCATATGGAGTCTACCTGCATGGTGTTCCCTGCTTCTTGCTAAAGCCTGGGCCAGCCCTCACTGTGTGAACATTTCAGGAGTGAATGAATGGATGGAAGCTTGTACTCCTCCTCTCTCCCTCTTTCTCGTCTCTCAGATAAATAAAATTCAAAACTTAAAAAGAAACAGGTTATGAAACAACTGTGAAAAAAATTTAAAAAAAACACTGTGATTCTTATGTTTAAAAATCAAAAGACCTGTTTGGGAAAGAGCTACAAGGAGTAGGAAGCAATGAAAATGGCCTTACAATTTTGATAAAAAACAAAACAAAACAAAACAGGATTTTCCTCTCTTGTAGCCCCCCTCCAGGCCATGCTGGCTGGAGGTCTCTGACTTAAATAAATCTTGCTTTTCTCTCTTAAAAAATTGATAAAGATGTTTTTATGTAGTAAAAATGAACTATCTGAAAAGAAATGAAGAAAGAATTCCATTTATATTAACATCAGAAAGAATAAAATAGGAATAAATTAACCAAAGGGGAATACTTTTACATTGAAAACTACAAAACATTGATGAAAGAAATTAAAGACTTCAATAAAAGATATTCCCTGTTTGTGGACGATAAGACTTAATATTGTGAATAAGTCAATACTATCCAAAGTGATCACAGATTTAATGCAACCGTGTGATAAATCCCCAGCATTTTTTACAGCAATAAAAAAACTCATCCTAAAATTTCATGTGGAATCTCAAGGGGCCTCAAATAGCCAAAAAAAGTCTTGAAAAAGAACAACAAAATTGTTGGACCCATACTTCCTGATATCAGAACGTACCATAAAGCTTCAGTAATCAAAACAGCGTGGTTTTGATGAAGATAAAAAGATGCATTTAAGTCAAATGGAATAGAATAGAGAGCTTTGAAATAAACACACATTTATGCTGAAATGATTTTTTAAAAGATTATTTACTTGAAAGGCAGAGTTGTGGGGGAGAGAAAGGGAGGGTAGGGGTGGGTAGGAGAGGGAAGGGGAAGGGAGGGGAGGGGAAGGAAGAGAAGGAAAGGGAAGAGAAGGGAGAAGAGAGACAGAGAGAAATCTTCCGTCAACTGGTTCACTCTCCAAATAGCTGCAACAACCGAGGCTGAGCCAATCTGAAGCCAGGAGCTTCTTCCGGATCTCCCACATGAGTGCAGGGGCTTTCCCAGGTGCATCATCTGGGAGCCGGATAGGAAGTAGAGCAGCGGGGACTTGAACTGGCACCCATATGGGATGCGGGCACCCCAGGCTGCGGCTTTACCCACCACAGCACCAGCCCCTCAGATGGTTTTCAACAAGGGTACTAAGACCTTTCAGCAGGGGAAAGGCTAGGTTCTTCAGATGGTGCTAAGTGGACGTCCCCATACGAAAGAATGAAGTTGGACTTTTACCTTAGACTAGATCAAAACAGATCAAAAACCTAAGTATAGGAGCTAAAACTATAAAACTGGAAGAAAACATAAGGGAAAGACTTATTACATTGTATTTGGTATTGATTTCTTAGGACACAAAAAGCATAGGCAACATGAAACAAATAGAAAAATTAGACTTCACCAAATTTAAAGCCATTG